CTGCCCAATGCAGGACCAGCCTAAAGCATCTCTGACAAATATTTGTCCAGCCTCTTCTTGAAAGCTGCCAGTGAAGGGGAGCTCACCACCTCCCGAGGCAGCTGGTTCCACCTCTGAACCACTCTGACCGTGAAAACGTTTTTTCTAATATCCAGCCGATACCTTCTGCATGTAATTTGAACCCGTTTCCTCGGGTCCTATCCAATGTTCCCTCTAAGCTGTGGAATCTTGTGAGCAAGAATTCTACTTTGTGAGCTCCTGGCATTAAAGTTGTGAGCAAGCTATTTGGCTACTGCATAAATCAGTTTGCTCTGGAGCCATCCTTCCTGAGGTAAGGCAAAAATGTGTGAGCCGGAGGCTAAAAAACTGTGAGCTAGCTCACACTAACTCAGCTTAGAGGGAACACTGGTCCTATCCTCTGCTGCCAACTGGAAGAGGTCCTTGCCCTTCTCCAAATGACAGCCTTTCAAATGTTTAAAGGGAGCAACCGTGTCCCCCCTCAATCTCCTCTTCTCCAAGCTAAACATTCCAAGGGCCCTTAGCCTTTCCTGATAGGGCTCAGTCTCCAGACCCCTGATCATCCTCGTTGCTCTCTTCTGCACCCTCTCGATTTTGCCCACATCCTTTTTGAAGTGAGGCCTCCAGAACTGCACACAGGACTCCAGGTGCAGCCTGACCAAGGCAGTATACAGAGGGGCTATGACCTCCTGCGATTTCAATGCTATGGCCCCTCTAATACAACCCAAGACTGAATTTGCCTTTTTTGCCACTGCATCACACTGACTGCTCATATTCAGTTTACAGTCCACTCTTACCCCAAGATCTCTTTCGCATACATTACTCCCCAGAAACATATCCCCCATCCAGTATTTGTGCTTGACATGTTTGTGGCCCAGATGTAATACTGTGCATTTATCTTTCTTGAATTGCATCCTGTTTACAGCTGCCCACTTCTCCGGAGTATTCAGGCCTTGTTGAATTTTAACTCTACCTTTTTGGGTGTCTGCTACTTCTCCCAATTTGGTATCAGCAAATTTAATGAGTAGCCCTTCTACCCCTTCATCGAGATCACTGATAAAAATATTGAAAAGTACCGGGCCCTGTGGCACCCTGCTGGACACCTCCCTCCAATCTGATGAAACGCCACTGACCACCACTCTTTGGGTGCGGTCCTCTAACCAGTTCCCTATCCACCGAACTGTCCGATAGTCCAGTCCTCAGTCTTCCATTTTGCCCATCAGAATGTTGTGGGGAGCCTTATCAAAAGCCTTATTGAAATCCAGGTAAATCACATCAACAGAGTCCCCACGATCCAGGAAGCTCGTCACACGATCACAGAAGGAAACCAGGTCCTTTGTTCTTGTTCAAGTCCTTTGTTCTTGTTCCATTTCAGGTATTTGGAGAAGAAGCGGCTTCTGTTCCCCCGTTTCTTCTTTGTGTCGGACCCTGCTCTCCTGGAGATTCTGGGCCAAGCTTCGGATTCACACACAATACAAGCTCACTTGTTAAATGTCTTTGATAACATCAAAACTGTAAAATTCCATGACAAGGTTTGTGCAACTGTCATGCTGATCACACAAGGAAAGCGATGGTCTGTGAGGTTCTGGGCACCTGCGAGTAGTCCCTCGTGCTCCCCTCCACCCTAGACGCGCTGTTAGGAATGAGTGGTGTGGAGCAATGTGCTGTGCAGCCATGGACACCTCCAAGAAGAAATAGTCCATTAAGAAAGGGCTCTCTGGTTGCAGCTGATGAACAGGACATCAGTGGAACCGGTGGGTTTTCAGGCTTCCCTGCTGAGGACACAGCGGCTTGCGCCCACCAGCAGTTCTGGCCGCTGGTTTGTGTCAAGTGCTGTCAAGTCACAGTGACTTACAGTGATCCCTGTATGGGGTGTCCGAGGCAAGAGACAAGCGGAGGTGGTCTGCCCTGGCCTGCCTCAGTACAGCAACCCCGGACTTCCTAGGGGGTCTCCCACCCAAACACTGACCAGGGCTGGCCCTGCTGCGCTTTGGGAATCTGACGAGACTGAGCCAGCCTTTGCCGTCCGGGTCAGGCCGGCCGTGTGTGGCTCCCTCCTCTCACCCCTCCTACTGCAGCCCGAAATGCCAGGTGGTGCGTCTGGGGGATAAGGGACCCCTCAGGAATGCCATGGGGGGAGAGAGTCAGACGTCTGCAGCAGGAGAGGGGAATGGACAGGAACTGCCACCCCCTTAGCGGAAATCCTCCGGTAGAGCCATGATTCACCTAGCTGCCAACTCAGGGCTTCACCATTTACCTGTCTTGATTCTTCCCTGGTGGACAAAGAGGTTGCCTTCTGAGGCTCAGCTGCGTTATCAGGGACAGGGCAAGTCTTATCACCCACTTTTATTCCGTTTTGAACATCTCCATCAGGCCTGACCTCCTCAAGACTGGCGTGGATCATAATATAAAGTCATAAGCTGCGAAGAGCTTTTCCAGTCATTTCACTTGCTCGGGTAGAAAGCGCTTTGAACGGTCTCTGAGAGAGACTTCGTCAGAAGCTCTGCCAAAAGGCATTCGGTAGCTGTGGGAGGACTATACCATGAGAAGGCCTTTATGTGCCATGCGTATCCAAACTTGGCATTGTTGAGAAGGCATTCCTTGGCACCTCTAAAGCCTTATACTGGCTTGTAAGAAACAGGTCGGTGGTGAAGAATACTTTTTGCCTTTGGAAAGTTCTAAATTGAATTCCTGGTGCCTGCAGTTCCAAGGTTCTCTGCTGGGAGCCTTGGGGAGCCATTGCCATTATTATTAATAATCAAAGACAGCCCCTGCACCACCCACTTGCAGCTTCATCCCGAGGAAGGGAAATGCTGCATAACTCATACGTTTGTTCAGTTGTAAGATCTGCACAAAAGCACTTGAGAAATATGACGGGCAGACTGATGCAAGACTGTCACACTCTGTATGACTTACAGGTTTACGATCGGATCCTTTCCATTTCCTCACGAGAGAGTGAGACCGTTGAGTTGGAAAAACCTGTCATGGCAGAAGGAAATGTGGAGGTTTGGCTCAATTCCCTGATGAAGGAGTCCCAGCATTCACTGCATCTGGTGATTCGACAGGCTGCTTCGAGCATCCATGAAGCAGACTTCCAACTAACAGAGTTTCTTTCTTCCTACCCAGCTCAGGCAAGTTTCTTACTTAGAACAGCACTGGGATGGAGGTTCTGATTTTTCACAGGCTGTTTTTCAGAGGTTAGGTTTCATGTGAAACCCTGCATGCCACAGTCTGCCATGTACTAAAGGGTGGCCTGACCTTCAGGTGCAGATTTTTGGGGGTGGTGGTGGTGAGATGGACTACAAGAGGGAAAGGAAGCAGAAAGGGTCCATTCTGCCCATGATACTTTGTAGTTTAGGAGTTCCTCATTGTGCCAGTAAACAATTCCTCAGTCATAATTTGGTATTTGCAAAAGTTGAGGATTTTTTCCTTGGGAAAAAAAGGAAATCTACCTTTGACGATATCTGTTTAGGTCTGGGGTAGACGTAATAACTATGGTTATTTTTTATATATAATATATGGTTATATATATAAAAATCATTTGTACCTTCTCTTCTTTCCCCTGGGACCCAGTGGCTTATAACATTATTTTTCCATTCTCAGTTTTACCCTACAACAACCACTCTGTGAGACAGGACAGGCTGACTGGTTTCCATAGCAGAGTGGGGATTCAAACCTAGACTTCCCAGATTCCAGTCAGACACTGCGTTAGTTATGGACATTAGGAGCAGGGCACGAGTTCAAGTGTTCCTTTGCAGGTCCTCTTCCCATCTTTGCTGTGTGATTCAGGTGGCTCACTGTGTTGTTCTGAAGCAATAGAACAAAGTTGGAGTCCAGTGGGGGCACCTTTAGGACCCAGCCAAGTTCAGGTCTAAGCTCCTGTCTCTGGCCCCAGCTCCTGCCAAGCTAGCAGTTCAAAAGCAAGAAACTACAAGTAGATAAATAGGTACCGCTTTGGTGGGAAGGTGACAGCGTTCCGTGCATCTCAGTGTTTAGTCATGCTGGCCACATGACCACGGAAACATCTTTGGACAGCGCTGGCTCTTTGGCTTGGAAACGGAGATGAGCACCGCAACCCTAGAGTCGGATTTGACTGGCTTTCGAGCAAGGGAAACCTTTACCTTTACTTATAAGCTTTGTGCACACAAAAGCTTATATCCAGAATTAAACTTTGCTGGTCTCAAAGGTGCCATTGGACTCAGACTTTAAAGGTCGAATCTGCGTTTGCATTTTTAATCAGTTTCGTGCTGCTGTGACGCCGTCTTTCTCTATGCTTGTTTGAATGTTGTTTGAAGAAGATTCTTTTAAAGCAGTGCAGAGGTGCAATGACAGCGGAGCTGCCACGAGAAGGTGATAAACATATGTGGACGTGCAAAAGTATGCCAGCACTGTTGAGGTGTGAAAACGACACCAAATATAGACAGCTTTTTAAAAGATGGTGTCAGAAGCCTGGGACACCGGTGGGAAAGACAAATGCAGATTCGACCTTTATCTTTGCTGTGTTTATAGTGACTTGAACCATGGCTAACACAAACTGAAGGTCACTATTAAGGTTTGAAAACAGCTTCAAATCCTAGTTTGCATTAATCACAGGTAACATTGATGTTGACATGAGCCTTTGATAATGACTAGGGCTTGAAGGGGCACACAGAATCCTGAAATCTGTTCTGAACTCCTGAACCAGGGTTACGGGACCAGAAGGGTTACCCATGTATGGGTCTTAGTGCACGGCACATGAAATAACATCCATGGTTTACTCAAGTGTCAGAATAGACACGGCTGGTGAATCGGTATATGCCAAAAGAGCCCTCGGATGGAAATGTATTTCTGTTTTTAAAACACAGTGGATGCATCAGTGGGTAAGCCAGAATGTTTTTGGGAAGATGAACTACTTTGGGAAAAACACAGTACTTAGAAGCAAAATTATTTCTTAAGGTCGGCTTGCTGGGAATTCAGATGATTTGGACGCGAGATGCTGAAGAAGCTCTGACAAATGCAAAGTACGATAAGAAAATAATGCAGAATACAAACCAGTCTTTCTTGGTCCTCCTGAACACTCTGATAGACATGACTACAAAGGATCTGACTCCAGTGGAGCGAATTAAATATGAGACGCTGATTACAATTCACGTGCACCAAAGGGATATATTTGATGACCTGGTAAAGTTGCTTGTTGTTAGCCATAACCCTGCGGGAAGGACAGAAATGTTTTGAAATAATGTGTTGATTGAATGTATCCAGTGTTATAGCATTGGGTCCACAACTGTATTCTCGGGGGCCTTTTATTTCCCAGGCCGTGGCTTGGGGACCCTCGGATACATAAGCGATTGTCAGTGTGATATCCATGGGCTCTGTGACACCACTGATATGTTTCGTGTTCCTATTCTCTTCTTCCCAAAAGCATCTCTTTCCTAAAGTAAAGGCCGACCTGTCTTTTCTTGACCTCATTGGAGCAGAAGGTACTTCCAAGGAGCCCAGGAAGTATCACTTTGGGGTCTGTAGGGGGTGCCCATTCGGCAACAGGCCACCTTGCCTCCCTCATAAGAGGATGTCTGGCTTAGGTCCTCCCAACAGTTTGTGACCGTCAGCAGCTCCCGCGGCAGCCGTTTTGTAGAGGGAGAGTACCATTTTTCGAAATTCCAGGTGTGTCCATAGGCTCAGCAAGGTTGGGACCCTAAGCAATATCATTCTCATTGCTCTCCTCTTCAATTAAGGGACTGAAATAATTATGGCAAAATCTTTCTTTTAGATTGGCATTTCAGACTATGGAAAACCAGATGCTCTTGTCTGAGAGGTCGGGTCTAGCCCAGTCAGCTTCCCGCCCCCCCCCCCAGGGCATTACGTCTTGTCGTCACGCAAACGACGCCACGAAGGCATTCCCGCATCTCTGTAGCCAGGGCCTTCTGATGATTCCCCTCATTTTTTCCTATTGTTCTTCTTGGCCACCCTTTTTGTAGTTTGGTCTTGTCTTTGCCAAATACAAAACTGTAGAAGATTTGCTGTGACATGTTTATATGTTGAAAATGTTTCTGAGTGGTTCTTTCACCACTGATGTATATTTAAAAAATCCTTTAAAACTAAACTGTTTTGGTATGGCACGTTTTCTGTCGGTCTTATATCCCATGATACCTTGCCTTCACGAGCAGATGTGTTTTTGGGTGTCGAGATATTCCCAAGAGTTTACAAGTAACTGGTCCCAAGTGCAGATTTAAGCATGACAGGCCCGTGACAACTTCTGTCCCTCTCTCTAGTGCCGGATGCATATTAAGAATCCCTCCGATTTTGAGTGGCTGAAGCAATGCAGATTTTATTTCAGTGAAGATGCAGACAAAATGTTGATTAACATCACAGATGTGTCCTTCATCTATCAGAATGAGTTCTTGGGCTGCACTGACCGGCTTGTCATAACCCCTCTGACAGACAGGTGAGACACAATTGTCGTTGGAACAGGAAGGGTCGTTTCATTGGCATGTCCGTATCATGCTGTAGCTGAATATCTGCAAGTCTCATTCTGTCTTTATCCATGCATGTTATACATACTTCCAGACTGGGCAATATTTGGAATGCAAAGCAGAGAAGAGATTCCCTGTATGTGCCAGTTTCTGGGAACTTATCAGTTTACTTAGAAAACGTCTATGCTGTCTCTCCAGTGAGCCTGCTTCAGGCAGCATATGAAGTAAGATAAACACAGAAAACACCGTGTTGAAATAATAAACACAATATTCACATTTACTTATAGCTAAATATATTTGCTTTTTATACACAACATCAACTCTAGTGTATTGTAAACACTTTCAAACTACAACATCATATTTCAAACACTTTCAAACTAAGTTATATAACATGAAGAGTCCAACTGTCTTCTTCCTGATGGAGGATTTATTTATTTATTTATTTAGGGATTTTTACCCCGCCCTATCCGGTAGCTCAGGGCGGCTAAATACCAATGTACAGGATAAATACCAATGTACAGTTATTTGTACCGAACAATGCAGCAACCTATTGTACATTTCCCAAGTGATGGTCCATCAGGCAAAGCTAGCAGGCAGCTTGTATTTCTCACTGTGATGATTCAGCTTAGCCAGCAAGCCTAGTGGATGTATTTTCCCATGAGGTGATTCAGCTAGCAAGCAAGCCTAGCAACACGCCTCCCGGGCATAACCTGCGTGTTTCGAACAAATCTTCTTCAGCTATGTTTACATTGTTTGACTTATGCATGGGTAAATTCAAGAGCTGTGGTTCCAGAAAAATTTATGCCTGAAGAAGTGACTGCAGTGACTCACAGAAGCTCCTCCCCTGCCACAAATTCGGTTAGTCTTGAAGGTGCTCTTGGACTCTGGCTCCTTTCTACTGCTGCAGACAGACTAACGTGGCTAACCCATCTTGATCCATCTACGTAAATGTTCTAAAGTTTTTCTGGGCCTGTTTTATATTTTAGAGCACTGACTTTAATCTCTGCTTAATAATTTGTCATGGCCAATGGATTTCTGAATTCCTTTCTTTGCAGGTGTTACATTACTTTGGCCCAGGCTCTAGGCATGAGCATGGGGGGAGCGCCTGCCGGACCCGCGGGGACGGGGAAAACAGAAACGACCAAGGACATGGGCAGGTGCCTTGGGAAATACGTTGTGGTCTTCAACTGTTCGGACCAGATGGATTTCAGAGGCCTAGGGAGAATCTTTAAAGGTCAGGGTGTCTTCTGCTTTGCAAACCACGACTACTCCTTTAGTAAAATGCAGGCTTCCATTTTAGATGTATGAGAAATCCAGGCAGAGTGTTTCTTGCTTTTGCTCATTGGTGTGAAAATGGGTGACGTAAAGGAGCAGATAGATTTGACCGTGTGACCTGTGTACTCCACCTAACTCTGGAAGCAAGCGGCAGCATTCTGTCACCGGCCAGAGTTTCTGGGTTGTCTTCGAAGGCAGGAAACCCTCCTCTCAACTGCCGAAATGGTCATTCCCAACCTAAAAAATGCCTGTGATGGAACTCGTATCTTATTAGTATTGTGTACAAAGCATTGTTTTGAATGATTTCAGCAAAATGCTTTCCACAACATACAAAGCTGGTTGTGAGTATAATTTATGTTCTGAGTCTCCAAAGTGGGATGTTTACCTTGAATTGTCATATATTCTAATAGCAAAGTCATCCAAATCTGAGGATACTTAAATCCAGAAACTGAAGTGGTGAATGGATAAGATTCTTTCGACAAACCTGAAAAATGCTTCAGATTTGCAGAAAAATCTGAAATCTAAAACAAAATACACTGGGCAGTTAACCCCCCCCCCCAATGATAAACAGAGCTCCTGTATCTTTAACACACAGAGGTCCTCAGGGACTGTTGCTAGGCAACCACAGCCATTTGGCCAGCATCTCAGGCTTGGTTTCTGTCAGTAAAAAGCAAGAGGAGTGGGCTGTTTTGGCCTTTAAGGGAGGTCTCATTGTAGTCAGACCTGGCAGCATCTACCAGGCAATTTGAAACCACCTGAATTGCTTGACTCACTCAGGCTTAGCTGCTTGCTACTGTTCAGCAACAGCCACAGGAATATAGGCTGTCCAGTGTAGTAGTCAGAGGTACAGATTGTGACCTCAAATCCCCATTCTGCTGTGGAAAGTAACTGGGTAACCTTGGGCCACTTACACATTCTCAGCGTAGTCTAACTTACAGGGTTGTTGTGACACAGGAGAGGAAAATTATGGGTCCCTATTGTGGACAAAGGCAGGATATAAATGAAGTAGATAAATAAGATGGGGGGCAGTTAAAATGTGAGTTAGTAAGTGGCTGTTAAAATGTGGGTTACAAACCTGAAAAACACCCAGATTTACCAAAAAATCTGAAATCTAAAATCAATACATGGCAGCAGTATTCCCCCTAAGCTGAGTTAGTGTGAGCTAGCTCACAGTTTTTTAGCCTCTGGCTCACACATTTTTGCCTCGGCTCAGAGCAAACTAATTTATTCAGTCGCCAAATTGTTCGCTCACAACTTTAATGTCAGGAGCTCACAGAGTAGAATTTTTGCTCACAAGACTCCACAGCTTCAAGGGAGCATTACATGGCAGGGGTTAAAATACAAAACAAAATGATAACAGAAGTACTTGTTGCTTTAAGAAATGGAAGCCCTCAGTGGCCAGTGCTATGCAACCACAGCATTCTAGGCGCAATTTCTCTCTTAACAAAAGGCTGGGGGTGGGGGGGAGGTCCCTTTCCAGGGCTTTTGGCCTTTGAGGGCCTGGCAGCAGCCACTGGGTGACCTGATACTACCTTCCTGCATGATTTCCCTAGGCTTGGCCGCTTGCGACTGTTCAACAGTAACCCCCCTATGAAAGCCAGTGTGGTGTAGGAGTTAGAGCAGTCTGAATCCCCATCCTGCTGTGGAAGCTCACTGGTGATTTAGGGCCACTCACCAAGTTTCAGCCTAACCTACCTCACAGGGTTGTTGTAAGCATAAAAAGGTGGAGAGAAGAATACTGTAAGCTGCTTTGGTTCCCACTGTGGAGAAAAGTGGTATATAAACGAAGTAAATAAATAATAAAGGCAGCTGAAAATGGGAGGCATATAAAGAGGAAGAGGAGGAGATTGGATTTATACCCCGCCCTTCACTCGGAGTCTCAGAGCGGCTTACAAACTCCTTTCCCTTCCCCTCCCCACAACAGACAGACACCCTGTGAGGTGGGTGGGGCTGAGAGAGCTCTTGACAGGAACTGCTCTTTTTCAAGGACAGCTCTTGACAGAGCTTGTGACTGACCCAAGGTCGCATCAGCAGGTGCAAGTGGAGGAGTGGGGAATCAAACCTGGTTCTCCCAGATTAGAGTCCGCGCACTTAACCACGACACCAAACTGGCTCACCAAAGGTACATTGGTGAATGGCTGAGATGGAGAAAATGAGGCAGGGAAGGGGGAGAGGATCTGGGGGTTGCTAGGAGGAGGGAGCTTTCTCCAGTGGCTAGCACCACACAACTGGGCCATAGTTTCCCCAGATATAGGCTTCTAGGTTTGGGGGGGGGGCAGACAGCTGAAGACAAAGAGGCAAATAAATGTAAGCTGGCTGTTGGTGGGAAGGGAGAAAAGGAAGCAGGGAAAGGCTATGGGGGCTTTCGG